CCGCGTCAGGTCAGGGAGCGCCGACCTGACGGAGCCTCTGCGGGCACCACCTGCCCGAGGCCGGGGCAGAGGCGCGACCCCCTTGGCCTGAGGCCCCTGGAACGGAGGCAGCCCGAACAGCACCTAGGGGGGCGAACTTGAGCCCCCTCCCCCCAGACAGTCACACACACACCCCTGGCCCAGGCGGTCAGAAGCACAGAATTGCAGGCGTGCTGGCCACACTGACAATGGGCAGGAGACACCTGCAAAACCGCAGTCCTGGGGCTGCCCCACCCCCAGAGGGCCTGGCTCCCAAAGGTCACCCTCAGTGGAAGTGCGCGCTCAGGTCCTGCCTGCAGCCAGACCCACGCCTCCTCACCCTGGACAGCAGCTGCAAAGTCCCTGGGTCCCCCCTGGCCCCATCCACCACCAGGGGCAGCTGCTGATGACGCTGCAGCGCCACGTGCAGGGCGGTGTCTCCCTCCTCGTCCTCGGCGTCCACGCTGCAGCCGGCGTCCACCAGCAGCGGCACCAGCCCCACGTGGGCCTGCTGCACAGCCAGGTGCAGCGGGGACTGGAGCTTTCGGTTTCGAACATTCACATCACAGCGGCCCTGGGGGTTGGAGCACAGGCTCAGCCAGGGACCCCCTGGGCCCCAACACCCACTCCCTGCGCCAGCTGGGGACCGTGTGCCTGCACCTCTTGGATGAGGGTTTGGGCCACCTCCCGGTGGTTGTTGAGGGCGGCCAGATGCAGGGCCGTGAAGCCGTCCTCTTTCTTGGCGTCCACCAGCTGCCGAGCCCAAGCCAGGATCCTCCTGACAGCTCTGTGGGGGCAGGGAGATGGGTCTGGGTTGGGGGTGTCCCCAGAGCAGCCCAGCAGCGTAGCTGGAGCCTGGCTCCTGGCTGTGTGCCCACCCCACACTCACAGCGTGTGGCCCTTGAGGGACGCATGGTGCAGCAAGGTGAAGCCTTGGCTGTTGGTGGCAGTGACGTCGATGCCCGGCACCTCAGTAAGGACCTCCACAATGCCACTGGCACCAGGGCCCGCGGAGATGGCGTAGTGCAGGGGCGTGTTCGCATGGGCATCCTGTCAGTGGTGGGCCAAGTGGTCACTGGGCAGCAGATCTCCTTGACCACAGGGATAGGACCTGGGGACTCAGCACTCACTGGCAGGTTGACGTCACAGCCCAGTTCACACAGGACCCTCACCACCTCCAGGAAGCCCCTCTGCACGGCCACGTGCAGTGCTGTGCTCCGGGTGCCATTAAGAGCACTGGCCTGGCACCCCGAACTCAGGAGCAAGCGGGCAGCCTCAGGCTGGTTCCTGACGGGAGAGGAGACCAGAGGGTGCTGTGCCCATTGGCGGAAATGCAGGCCCAGTCTCCACCGCACCCGCAGGGCCTTACCCCAGGGCCGCGTAGTGCAGAGCCGTGTTGCCCTCCTCATCTGGGAGGTCCATGTCCGCCCGGGCCTGCAGCAGCAGGCGCAGCAGCTCCACCTGGCCTAGATAGGCAGCCACCTGCAGGGCGGTCCTGCCCTGGTTCTTGGTGTCCACCTGTGGAGAGCACCAGCAGGTCAGTTCGTGGCCCTCTGCGCCCTCCCTGGGGCTGGCCCTGAGCATGGGGGTGAGGGTGAGGTCTTGGGAGCCTGCCTGCTCAGGGTGCCTCCGCAGCAGGTCCAGAGCCTGGGCCACACTGCCCAGGGCCACCTCCACCACCAGCCTCCCTGGATGCTCCAGGTCACTCTTCTGGGCTCGAAGCTTGTCCAGGGCAACGCTCAGGGAGCCTGGGGTGGATGGGGGCTGAGATTAAGCAGTGGCCAGGGGCAGCCCTGCCTCCCACCGGTGGCCTTGCTGGGTGCCCGCACTTTTGTTCTTCCTGGCGCGCTCAGCCACGTCCAGGTTGGCATCCTCCTCGGGCCGATAGGCCACCAGGCAAGAGGGGCTGAAGGTCCACAGCTGACCACCCACTGCCACACGCAGGTTCCCGTCTCCGAAAACCTTCACCACCTTCCCAATGTGGCCCAGGGCCTGAGGAGAGGACGGAGTCACAGGCCAGTCTGCTTGGGGGTGGGGG